TGAACCAATCTGTCTTTAAAGTACTGTCAGGAATGTTCAGGGGAGGATTTGTTATTGTTTGTGGCATCAAGTCTACTATGACTCATAAGGATCCTATGCACAATATCTCTGAAATCTGTTCTATCCTGAGCCAATGTCATGGTCTCTGACAGACCGACCTGCACTACTCCAGTTATTATGTCAATTCATGTCATCCAGGATCTTCCTCTCCTGTGCTGTCCTTCCACCTTTCCAAGTATGATACACTTTTCCAAAAAACTGGTCCCTCCTGGGAGCATTTCCAAGTGCTTGAGATGGTGCCGCAAAACCCCTGCCTCCAAAAAAGTAGCTTGGTTTCACCTCCTCCAGGTTCTCTTGGTGGTGTCCATGATACGTTCAATCCTCTCCTCTAGCATTACACTTCAAAGGCATCAATTTCTCTGTCATCTTTGGTCATTGTCCAGCTCTCCAATGCAAAGCAAGTAATTGGGAAGATTGTGGCCTGGATCCAGCACACTTGAGTCTCTAGACTGATATCATTGCTCTTTAGCACTCTGGACAATAGATTTTTCCTAGTGCAATTGATTTGACTTTTGATTTCTTGATGGCTGGTGCCAAGAATGTTGACTATGGACTGAACAATCTCAATCTCTTTTCCATCTATCATGGTGCTGTGAAGGAAAACCCTGAGGGAGGTGATAGACACTGTCTGCAACAGAGCTTATATACCTGTACTATTGTGAGGAAAAAGGAGGGCTGAGTGCAGAAAGGGTGCCAACTCTATAACACCTGTCCAGCGTCCAGAGCAAAGTTTGGAGAATGAAAGTAAGTTACCTGAATGCAATTGATTTGTTAATACAACAGATTTTCACCCAATGGTTCTTTGAAAAGTAGAAAAATAACCTTTAGTTCTATAGTCAATACCTGATTTATGCAAGAATGACAAGTTTATAGTATGCTTTTCCATATATTCTACCAGTACTTCATCAGATAGATTTGCTAAATTATGTGTTATATTTCTTTATAGTTTTGAGTATTTTATAGCAGTGCAACAAAATGCAATTCGAAGTCTCAACAGCTCCCTGAATTACATTTTTTGCAAGTCCTTAATATCCAAGGAGCATCAAATAGAAATAAATTAAATTAATAATAATAATAATTAAAAAAATTTAAAAGAAAAATAAAAAAAAATTAATTTGGGCAAAGTTAAAAATCAATTCTATTAATATTCTTATTTCTTATTTCCTTAAATCTCAAAATATAAGGGCTGAAATCTAGTAGTATTTCTTATCTAGCTGTGTGGAGTTTGATCTTTCAATATGGCTTTCCTAGCACTGTTTGACTTTGCCATGTAGATGGGTGGGAATATGTGAATGGAGTGTGTTATCCTAGCCACAAGGGAATTGGCTAGTCTAGCCATTAAATTGAGCAATCCAGCAGCTGAAGAATGAGACTTTCGCTGCCAGTGAAAAAGCAGCAGCAAAAGAATGTAACACATCATTCAAGCTCAGAAATTCTTGCTCCATCTACATCTGCACAAGCGGCCATAGCCAAACCAGAGACCTGATGTGAGATGGGACCATGGGACTGCTACACCACTGGCAACAGAGGGAAAAGCCTTTGCTAAATTTGTTGGACAAATGGTGGAGGGGGTCAGAGTTTAATTTGCAGGACTGAGAACTTTGTAACACTGACCTGAAGTTGCGAGGCTCAAGGCTGAGGTGCCTGTGAGTGCATTCTGGAAGCTATCCTGTGTTCTCTTACTTACCTGTATCACAGGCTTTTGATTTCTCCAATATGGTTTTGTGTTGTGTGTGAACACTGGATATTGGACTCAATAAAGTAGTAAGATTGGTTGAGATGAGTAGAAAGAGGTCCAAGAGCATGTCTTTGGGGGACATGTCTTTGGGAATGGTTTTGGGGACATGGGGGAATTGATTTTGTGTTGCTGATATTGATGGGAATAGTTCGCTTTTGTGAAGTTTTTAAGGTCAGACATGGCCATCCCCATGTGGCCCTTACTTACAAGCTGCATATTTCAAACACTGCTGTAATTCCTGAAAATATATGTTAAGGCATTAAATTCACTAATATTAAAGATAGGTATAAAATGTACTGAATCTTAAGAAAGTAAGGGCCCATGATGAGCTGAACGTGTATTTGAAACTCATGAAATTTTCAAAGGAGTACCCAAGTATATCAAAGCACTTAGTCTTTGGTTAAGGGCAGAAATTCTTCAATTTATAGGAACTTAACAAATCCAGTGCAAAAATTCTGAGCATTAATTTTGTATTTAGAGAAATCATATAAATTGAAAATGATTATGGAAATAACCACTCACTGCTTTAAAATTTTAAGTAATAGAAGCTAGCATGAGGCAAAGTTAAAATGGACTATTAATTTTGAGAATTTGACAGATTAAGCACTGCATTTTCAAGGGCTTTGGGTTTTAGGGAGCTCTCGTGGCTCAGTCTGTAGGGTTGAACTGCTAACCCCAACGCAGCACCTGTCTGGCAGTTCAAATCCAGCAGCGGCTCCATGGGAAGATGGGCAATCTCCTCCCTTGTGTTTTACAGCCTAAGAAATCCAATGGGGCCAATTCTGAGTCAGTTCTGACTCTGCAGGAATGACTTTTGGCTTTTTATACTGGAGCAATAAAGGGAGCTCTGTTGGCCTAGTGGATAAAGAGTTGCACCGCCGACTCAAAGGCAGGTGGTTGGACCCACCAGCTGTTCCTCAAGGGGAAATGGGTCATCTACTTCTGTGTGATTTACAGCCTCTGATAAACTGCTGGAAGGTCAGCTATGCATCAGTCTGGACTCAACAGCAAGGAATTTTTTGAGAGCAATAAAAGCAAACTAGGTGTCATTAAGTTGATCTAGACTCATGGGAGCCTCGTAAGTATCAGTGTTCAACTAGGCTCAATTTTCAGTAGCAGATTTTTCAGAAGTAGGTAGTTGGGCCTTTCCTGTAAGGCCAATTAGTGGAGCTGAATACCCATCCTTTTAGTTAGCAGCTGAGTATGCGAACCGGTTGCACCACTCAGGGACTGTGTTTGATAGAGCCGTTCAAGTCCTTCCAGGAAGTTATCAAAATTCTTTTCAGATCTATCTGGAATCCTAAATGGAGGATTATGTTTTTGAAGAATGTGTGGGATATATATACATACAGTGAAGCATGCACCTAAAGCATCCCAGCCTTTGGCATCTGCCAAAGTGGGATGCATCCTAGAGACCATCTTTCAGATGGAGGAATGCAAGCTGGGAATGTAGGTGCTTTTGCCAAATCACAAGGCAGAGGCTGGCTAGATACAGGTCTCCAAATTCCTCAGAATACATACGCTAGGGATCTTCATAGTTTTTCTGGAGCCTCTAAAAATATGAACGTATATCATCAGTGAGTATCATTCAGTCCAGCACTGAGTCATTTTCTCACAAATTGAACAGACTTGATACTGAGGTAATTATGCAGATAGTTACAGCAGCAATTATGAGACAATAATATCCCAGCAAACCCTTTGATGGCACAGTGATTGCAAGCCAGCAGTTCAAACCCACTCTCCACGCAGTAAAGACATGACAATCCGCTTCTGCAAAGATTTACAGACTTAGAAACTTCTGGGGCAATCCTATTCTGATCTAGAATCTTTAATAAAAGTTAAAATTGAATAAGGGGTTACTTTAATGTTCCATCACATCATTTACTGAAGGAGTCAGGAAACTTTACTCATATGGCTAAGAAGCAATCATTTGCAAATTGCTCAAGTAATTGGAAAGCCTGAATGCAGCTCAACAAATCTTCTATGGTGTATACTACGTATAGTCCCCTGACTGAAACAGAAGCAGTGGCAGCGTTCAGCTTCAAATGATTGTGGATGAAGGACTAGGACCAGGGGGGTCAGGGCCTCACCCAAGCCAAGTCCTTTGGAAGATTGTTTCTACAAACTTATTTGACATTTGGAAGTTTTTTCCACACTGACATTTAAAAATTTTGCCTATTTCAGATTGCATGCTATATTTATTTAGAGAATAAATTCTTAAATTGTCTTTCAGTAAGCTATTAACTGTGAAACTAGTCACAAAGGAGAAAAGTTGCTTTTTAGATAGAATGGACTTTAGTTAGTTTCATATGGTAGAAATCATTAGGGTGTTCATTTTCTAAATATAATGAAGGGGGTACATGTGGAAGGAGTATAACCTGGTGATATTTTTCACACAGGGGCCCTGGTGGCATAGTCTTCACCAACCTGTACCACTAACCAAGAGGCTGGGAGTCCTGGCAGCTTAAATCCACCAGTGACTCCTGAGGGATGAAGCTGGGTAGTCTCTCCAGGACCTTGGAAACTCAATAGAGAGGGTTGCTAGGAGTTAGACAGTTGAGTTTTTGAGCTGATTTTCTGGATACAATGACTGATCACTAGGTGGCGTAAAGAAGGCATGATTAAAACTAAGTAAAGTCAGTAAACAATGTTTTACTGAAACATTTCATAACACAGAAAATCTGTCTGACGTGTAGAGTTACTGTCTTACACAAGAAGGACAGACCCATTTTCAAAGACTAATAGGAATATAATAAATATGGCGTTTACATACTAATTTGTACACAGAAACTGCCCCATGGCCATAAAAATTTATATTTAACAGTGCAACATATAATTTAATCATCTGATTTCTTTGACAGGTTTTTCTTACTAAACACAAATAACTAGCTAGTTGTAATATACATATATAATATATTCTTTATGTATTTAGATATTCAACAATCTGTACAGTTTCTAAACATAAAACTCCTAAAAGGCACAATTGTCTATACAACATGTACAAAATGACTGGAGCAGACACAAAACAACAATTATTGGTCAAAAGTTCATGATTGCACAAAGATCAGTAACGTCAATTTATGTCAGAAAAATGTGCTTTAAGGAAAGGAGGGTTTTCAAAAAACCTTTAAGTGTTATATTAAAAAAACCCCTAAAATCAAAACAAAAAAAAACAAACCCCAACCTAACTAATAAAACCCACTTAGGTGGCTATGACAAGCCGGTCCTCATCGTCATCACTGCTTGCGTCACTGAAATGCACTGTGGCCTGCCTTCGAGGAGGGGCTGTGGGTCGGCGGGCCCGCCTGTGTGGGGAGAGGGTCTGGGGGCCTGGGGGCCTGGAGGGCCCATCCAGATGCATGCCCGGCTGGGACTCTGCTGTGGATGGGAGTTTATGCCCCAGTGTCATGCAAGGGATGGAGGCAGGCTTCTCAGGGCCCACTTCACTTGTGCCATCCAGCCTTTCAAGGCCACTGGCCGGGGCGGGAATACTCAGCAATTTTTTTGCATTTTCCTGCTGGACTTTGGGTGTCCCCTGAGAAGATTCGGCTCTGTTGACCTGGTCTGCACTGGTCATAGGAGCTGGCTTGAGCTGCGTCTCGAAGGTTGTGGTGTGAGAGGCTGGTCCCTCTGGCGTTCCTTGGGCATCCACAGTCACGGGGCCCACCGAGGGGATCAGAGTAGGCAGCGCTATGTTCACAATCTGGAGGCCTGGAATGTGGGCCTGGGGGCTGGGGCTGCTCTGGGAGGTGGGCTTGGCAGTTAAAACCTGCAGGCCCACCGCATTCAGGGCCAGCCCTGGTGGATGCACTGGGGGGCCGAGGCTGGTATTGGCAAGACCTAGGATGTTGACAGTCTCCATGGTGAGTGAGGGGAGCGTGGGCTGAGCCAGGGGCGTGTTGAGGTTCTGCAGGCCTGGCACCTGGATCTGGCCAATGGGAATACATGGCACAACACCGCTCAGCTCTGCCACTCCAGGTGGGTTGGTAGTACTGGAGACGTTCGTGATGGTGTCGGCTGGGGTGCCCACAGTCCTGTGGAGGACGCTGACAGCAGGAATTGTGAGCTGCATTGGCCCCGCTTGGATTGGAACAAATGCAGAGTACGTGAGGCCAGCAGGTACCACATGGATGCCCCCAACTGGAACCATATTGTAAGGTGTCCTTGACTGTTGCTGGGAATGCAAAGGAAGGTGACTGAACAGGTGAGTCTGAGGAGAAGTCAAGCCTGGGGCTGGCTGTAGACTGATCTGCTGTTTCTGTTCCTGAGAGTCAGGATGAGCTGAGGTGGCTGAGGGAACCACCACGGCTGGTGGGGGGCTGGGCTCAGCGACAGGAGGCAGGCTCCCAGGTGACGTGCCCTGAAGGAAGAGAGAGAACCCTGTTTCATCAACCTGTTTTGGTAACTGTCATTGATTTAGTACCAAATCATGGTGACCTATGCATGCCAAAGTGTTACTGTGAGCTGTCGCAGAATTGGCTTCAATTCACGGTGACCGTGTGCACACAGGAACAAAATCCACCCGGGTTCTGAACTATCCCCAGTGCAGTCAAGGGCTTTCACTGGCTGGTTCTGAAGCTAGATTTACAAGCTTTCTTCCTAGTCTGTCTGAGCCTGGGCTCTGAGCATCATAGCAACAAGCAAGGATCCATGGGTAGTGGTACTTGTGAATGAGGCAGACTGAATGGGACTAGAACTTAGGACTTCCCATACAGAAGAAGAAATTCTACCACTGAACCACTAGTCCACCATTTAAACAATGAGCTAAAATTCTATACAACACTAGTGTAAAGTCTATTCTTCCTGAGGAGCACCAGGACATATGTTTAGATTCTAGGCTTGCTAAAAAAGTTTGTTTTCATTTTTAAAAGTAAATGTGCAACAAACACAAGCTACCATATTTTTAGTTCTTTTAAATAATCATACCAGGACTATACTTACCTTGCACTTTTCAAACCAATTTCCTGATAGTATCTAATTTTATACTGAGAAGAACTCTGAAACGAAGACATAATTATATTTTTGTGTTGTTACTGTCTTTCTGGGTCCAACAGGTCCATTTTAGAGATAGGAGTCATTGACAAATTGAGGTATTAGTTGGCTGTGAACATCAACTTAAAAGGGAAAAATTAACTAACTAAAGCATTATTTCTTTAAGAAATAATTGTTATTTAGAAAGGATCTGTAGCTGTTAGGTTTTTTTGTTCATTCATTTAATACATTTTTGAAACGTCTCCTAATAATCAGAGGATTGTAGGCACTGGCAGGTATAGGAGAGATGTGAAACAGGGAAGCGCAGAGCATAAGGGACCAATGTTATTGTTGTTGTTGATTGTCTTTGAGTTGAGCACGACTTATAGCGACCCTATGAACAAAAGGCCTGAAGCCTCTCTACAACTACCAACGTTTATTAAAGTTCATAGAGGTTCCAGAAGCATGAGGTAACCATGATTAAATACAAGGAATACACCCTGTCTACCCCCTCTCTCACACCTGGATTATTAGTTAGATTTAGATTTTTCTTGGTAATATGTGATATATTAATTTTAAGTAGACAGCCTGAAGAAATATACAAGCTTTTATATAGTTAATTTTTTTTCCAAGAAATCTGTGGTGTAGTGGACTAACTAGTGGAGTGGCATGTTGTGCTACTAACTTAAAGGTCAGTAGTTCAATCTACCAGTTGCTCTGTGGTAAAAAGAAGGGAAGTCTCCTTCCTTAGAAATTTACAGCCTTACAACTCCCAGGGAACATTCCACTTAATGGCTGTCGGTTTGGTTTTGGTTGTATTTGTTCTGTGTGACCTATAAACCCAAATAATCCACATTTAGAAATAACTCCTCTACAATACTAGCTATGAATCTTAGTTAGGAGACTATCAACATGAGAATGAATTTGCATAGAATTAATCACTCTCCCTTGGGACAGCAGGGTGGGTGTGCTGTGTCTTCCCAGAGGCTAGTGCTAACAGAGTAAGGTCTTGGACAGCAGCGTTCACAAAACTGCTGCAGATGCCATGATGCCAGAGAAAAGGGCAACTGTCTTGCAATAAGGCAAATTCATCACCCGTGGAAAAACAAGTCCCAGTAAACTATATTGTGCCATCCAGTTCGAAAAGATTCATTCACAGCTGACCACTTCGTAGATTTCTGGAGGCTGTAAACTGCACAGAAGGAGACTGCCCTTTCTCCCATGGATCTGATGGTGGATTTGAACCACCTGTTTTGGGATTGGGAGTGCAACTCCTTACCCACTAGGCCACCAGAGCTCCCTAGTAAACTATGGCCTACATAAATAAGTTCCATGATTCAACTGACAGATGTACATGTTTTCATTTTAATTTAGAAAAAAAGAGAAACAAATAATAATAATAAATGAGTGTTACTTTAAGAACCATTTGGTTATTTTCTAGATTTACATTTATATGGTCTCTGACTGATATACTGAACAAAAACCCAAAGGGTATAAATATCTTTTCCTTCTAAATTAAAAAAAAAAAAATCTTAATCTACAGTTATACTAACTGATTTGGCCATCACTCACTAATTTGTTATGTGCATTGTCCTTTCAAGTCATCTTTGCTGTTAGCTGTTACTGAATACACCCCTAACCCATAGCAACCCACACACAGTGGGATCAGACTGCCGGGATCCATGGGGTTGGCACAGACTGAATTTTAGCAGATGATCACCAAGCCTCTCTTGCCAAGCTCTCTTAGTCTGGAACCTCTGCTGAAACCAACTTAGCACCAGAGCAACAGACAAGCCTCCAGTGACAAAGACGGGGAGAAGCTGCACACAATGAGATATGCCCTGGCTGGGGACTGAACCAGATCTCCCCTTAGGGAAGGTGAGGATCATACCAAAGAACTACCAATGTCCCCCTCTCCACATTGCAACAACCTCAAGATCATTTACCTGGGTTAAAGCAACAGCCTTTCCAGCCACTGAACTCCTCAGGATATCTTCTGGTTCGGGGTAATCCACAGACATCTGATGACATGGGGATTTGGGTGCAGCCTCGGAAGACCTTGACAAGTCTCCACTAGCCTCCTCCTCATCTCCGGTAACATGCTGCCTGGCTTTTCCAGGAGAGCATGTCTTTCGACCATGATCTGACTGCACCGTGCTGAGCACCGTCATCTTGGTGAGCAGAGCCCGGGGCAGTACGTCCATGGGGTCAGAGTGTGTCCCAGGGAAGCAATTGGGGACCCTGGTCTCCTCGTCTGCACTGGCGGAGTCCTGCAGGCTGCTTCGTGATGGCAAGTGCTGGGGGCTGGCTGCAACAGAGGGGGCAGCAGACAGAACGGACTCGGCTTGACTGTCCTCATCATCGTCTTCATTCTCATTGTCATCCTCATCGGGGCCATCAGAGTCTTCAATGTCATAACCAGACCGCTCGTAACCAAATCTTTGCCTCTCCTCTAGTGGGAAGAACCAAGAAGGCATGCCATGAGGGTTTTGCAAATAAATGGGGATGTGTGTGTGCAACTTTTATTACCTGTGGGCTTCATAACACTGTGAGGAATAATACACATGACAAGGGCCCTGTCCACACAAAGGCAACACTCTAATTAAAAATGAAATGAGAAAAAATGCAGGGTAGGCAAGCAGGAATTCAGAGAAACCAGTCTTGCTGGAGAGGGGCAATGCCATGGCAAAGCTGTGTGGAGGACCTGGGGTGGAAAAAACCAACCAGAAGGTGAGCCAGGCAGAGGGCAAAGAGAGATGGAAGCTCAGACTCCAAAAGTGCACGTAAGACATCACCAAGACCAAGCTCAGCAGAAAAAAATAATAAATAAGGTATTACACATAACCGTTGGTCCCTATCTAATTTTTCAAGCATTTGTACAGATGAGAACAAAAGGTGATGGTGATGGTATTCATCAGCTGAATTAATTCCCTTAATTCTTGAGTGGCATTTAGAAAGCTTCAATTGTCCTCTGAGTAATAATTATGCAATATTCATTTTTTTCAACTTATGGGCACTAAATTTTCCCATTATTTTTTCCCCTCTATAGGACTCAACCTGAGGTTTTAATAAAAAAATCATCATGTTGGCAAATAATATCACATTGGACCAACTGCATTTAACCAAGACCATTTGGCATTTTCCAATGAATAGTTTTAAAATTCTTGTAACTTCATGTAAGATCATATTTTAAATTTTCACCTATTTAAATTATTGAACATTTTAAGACCTTCCCTTCAAAAAGTAATAAACCCTTAGAAACTAAAGGGAAGAGAAATTCAAAACATCTTCTCTACTTCTTTGTTATGAAATCTAATAAAGGTATTTGAGCAAACAGTTTTGTTATACCACATTCTACACTGTAATGCTCTGTAATACTCTGCATTTTTTATTGGTAAGCATACAATTATTCATATACATGTGTTTTATTCACATATATAGTGGAGGTTTTTGTGTGTTTCACATTTTTATTCATTGGCATGTTTCATACAATCATTCCATACATTGTGTTTTATAAAATTAATCACCACTGCACTATGCCCATCACTTCCTCATCTTTTCAGTTCCCTGCCAAATCTTTGCCATTTCCTTTATTCCCTCCCTCTACCCACCAAATTGTGCTTCCCTGTGATTCCTCCCCTACCCATACTCACCCCTCTTTTCCTCTTGGAACCCCATACACATTTTACTGCCATTCTTCTATTTTTACAATAATGGTTTATGCAGTATTTGTCCTTATGTGACTGAGTTACTTCCATAATACAATGTGTATTTTAAAAAGACAAAAATGTGCTTGCGGCTCATAGTAACTACGTATGAGTCCTGCTCTAAGCTGAGCCAACCTTATTGTCTCTGACACATCTACCCCCACTTCCCCAGTCACTGAATCAATCCATCTCATCGAGGGTCTTCCTCTCTTGCCCTGTTGCTTGACTCTCCCAAGCATGATCTCTCTTTCCAAGGACTGGTTTCACCTTGCAACATGCCCAAAATATGTCAGATAGTGCTTCAGAATCCTTGCCTCCAAGGAGTAGCCTGGTTTCACCCTCTCTAATATGGATCTGTTTGTTCTCTTAGCAGTCCATGGTACACTCAATACTCTCCTCCAGCACTACAGCTCAAAGGCATCAATTCTTCTATGATCCCCAATCACTTTAAATCCAGGAATAGGTATTTTCCCAGCTTTACCAAAAGGCATGGACATTAACTTACCTTATTATCCTTTCTTTTTACAAAAAGAATTTACCAAAAAGAACTTAACGGTGAGTGTTTCCTTGCATTAGAACTTAATCATATTGTTTATCACAAACGTGCATTTCTTTTATATATTAGATACTAAATATAAAACATATGCATTTAAGTTCCTCTAAAAGGTGCACGTAAATGAATAACTCAGGCAATGCCAGCTTATGGAATTTCACTAATCACTCCTGCTGGCTGGGGCCCTGGTGGAGACGACATGGCTAATGGCTAAATGCCATGACTCCTGCCTTCCTGATGGCCTGATACTGGGGATTCTAATGCTACACTGTCATCTTCAATTCATGTAAAATGTATTTAACTGCTGACAAATAAAAATTTTTATGGATGAGGTGGGTTACCCCCCCCCCATTCTATTGGTTTATTTTTTAAGGGGGAAAACAGAAAAGACTTGAAGGTACTAGAGGGCTGGCCAAAGAAGTGAGCTGGATACAAATTTCATCAAAGCTCACTCTGCTGCCAAGCCCCAATCACATGGGATTTGTTTTCTTTTAAAATCATTATTTTCAACATGATTTTTCCTGGATGGAGAAAGCTGGGGGGGAGGGAAGGGGAATTACATCCCTTACAACAGAAAAATGAGAGCTGACCTAACTTTAAATATAGATCTTTTTCAGACAGTATGGAACCTCAAAAGAGGCAGGGAGGTGGCGGGAAGCCCAATCAGGGGCTCACAGAAAACACCAGAAAAGGCATCACAGTTCCACTGTGGTTGAGACCTGGGGAAGACAACGAGCAGCCAAACAGGAGGGACAAAATCCCTCCTGGATCCAGCTCCCTGATAATCTCAACCAGGGACTGAAGGCGTACCCTGAGTGTGGAGGGCAACAAGCATCACCAGCTTAAGAAGCTGCATGAAAACACACTGCAGTGAAGAAAGGGAAAAGAAGGGAGGTCTCACACAACAAAACACTCTGCTCCTGAGAGCAGGGCAGGATTATCTGCTGAACTCAGCACTACAGCCCGGCGGAGAGAACCAAAAAGACCACTGCTCAGAGACAGAGGAGCAGGGTGCACGCTTGGGACTGAGGCTGAATCAAAACAACAAAGATGGTGCGGTATCTTCCCAATGCCACGTTAACAACATTCACCAACAGCCAACAGCCAATAACACTGCTCCATGAGAGACAGGGCAGGAATAAGATATGCAGACAGATCCTCCCTAGGCAACAGTACAAAGCAAAAGTCTGAAATCTAGTCTTAAATAGACGCTGCCCTAGTAATCTAACTGCACCCATGCAGAAGGAGTATAGCAACAGACAGGAATCTGGATTTACAAGAAGCAATGAAGAGCAGCAGCCCTGGAGGAAATGCAGGTGTCATGGGGAATGGTGTGTGCCAACTAGAGAAAGCTCTATCGCTCTCACTGTGTGCTGTCAAGCTAATACCAACTCCTAACAGCTCTGGCAAGAAGCTGAACTGCAATCCCTAAGGCATGCTGTACAAATCCTTCAGCCATTTGGTGGGAGAAGGATGGGCAAGCTCCTCCTGTGCGATTAATGGCCTCTGAAAACCTGCTGGAAGGTCAGCAACTGGTCGGTTAGGAATTGATGATAAACAACAACAGCTCTGTAGCACCAAGGAGAATGGCTTCATGGGAAAAGACAGATTGCCAGGTCTCTTCTCCCATGGAGAGGCTGATGGATGTGAATCACCAAGATTTTAACCAATTAACACTGCACTGAATAACCAGTGAACCCCCACTCTGGCTCTCAGGGAATCAATTAAACACTAATCCAAGTATTGCTGGGAAGGTTCTTTTGGAGATGTGGCTACATTTATAATCTACTGATTTTAAGGGGATTACTTTACCTAAGTAGGCAGGCCACAACCAACTAGGTGAGAGGCTTTAATAAAAGAAAATCTGCCTGTTGAATGTAGTGTTAGCTTCTGTCCGAAAGTTTCCAACCAGCACTATGATTTCATACTTGTCCAGTCAGATCCTACAGTCAAATATGCCAATATTTCAAAATTATCTATCTAGTAATATATATGTACCTGTATAGTTATACACAACACACAGACACATATAGAACTGGCAGAACTTTAGTAGGTACAGAAGGTAAAAGGAAATTATTTTTATCTTATTTTTAATTGCTTTAGAAAATAATGACAAATCTAGACTAAAATGTGTGGTCTAATCATATGAACTGAAGACAAAGCGAGCCAAACTGGGTTTAAAAAAAAAAGGGAAAAAAAAGAGCAGATCCTAATTATATACCATATATAAGAAATGCATCTTAAATATAAAAATATAAGTAAGCTTAAAGTGCAAATTTAGACAAAGTTACAACATAAAAACACTAACCAAAAAGTTGTTGGGGGCGGGGGAAGCTATATTAAGATAGTAAAAAAGACTACCTGAAATAAACAGGATTATGTAATATCCATACATTACAAAGCAGTTTTAATATAATGGGATGGAAAACTAATGGAACTGAAAGAAAGTCACTCATATACCCATGAGTATAGGTGAATACTTCAACAATTCCCAGTAACTAATAAAACATATAGAAAAAAAATGTTTTAAAAATCATGAAGACAGAAGACCTCAAATGATCTTTATAAAATGCAACATCAGGGATACAGACCATAAAGAAACTGAAATACATTTTAGACACCATAGATTTTACCTTTTTGGAGGGTAAGAGCATTAAACGAGAAGTCTCCAAATATTACATCTTTAAATAATAGGTCAAAGTATGAATGAAAAGGAAAAACTGTCCTGAATGAATGAAAGATACACTGTTACACATTAGTGAATTGCTGCTGTTAATACAGCAGGCAGTGGGAAAATCTATACCAGTAAGTGCTCTTTTATACTTTATTTAAAAAGATAAAAAGGATTTAATGGTGTGTGTGTGTATATATATATATATATATATATATATGTGTGTGTGTGTGTGTGTGTGTGTGTATGTTTTTAAACTAAGATCGTATTTTTAGGAACTAGGAAAAGAAACTAAATCCCAAAAGAGTGGAAGGAGGAAAATAATAAAATAAGTTAAAAAAAAAAAAACACAAAACCAAACAAACAATAAAGCTAAAAGCAGAAAATCAGTGAAACCAAGTGCTCGGCCTCTGGCAGACTAGAGGTACACCTGAAATAAAGTCAAATTCAAGCTCAAGCAAGTCACAAATGTTCTGATTTCTTTGTAAATACAAGGGAGTTCTGGGGGTACAGTTCATTGG